ATTGGGCAATCTAAATGTATCATTTACTTGTTTTTCTTTTCCACTCTCACAGGCATGCAGACGCCAACCCTCATACTGCCTTGCCTCACATGAGGAAGTAGACGCCCATGTCCATGCAGGAACTCAAGGCATACCTTGGAATCCAAGTGAAAATAAGGATGGTGGATCTCCCCAGTTATCGTAACTACCGGTTGAGTAGTCATGTTCTAAATCATGAACTCATTTCTCAGGTCATGTCCAGGGACCAGTTCGACTAGTTGATGACTAACCTCCATTTTCCCCAAATGGCAGAAGAAGCTCCACTCTCATAGGACAAGATGCGGAAGCTCTGACCAGTTGTGGACTCCCTTAATGGCTTGTTCTGGTGTTCATGTCATGGCAGAACATCACCATTGTGGAAGTTCCGAGGGTAACCTTGCTTTCAAGACCTGCAACTTGATCAACAGGACAAAGTTCAGGTTAAAGATCTATAAGCTCTGTGCCAGTGCCAGCAGCAACAGCAAACACCTCTTGTTTAAAAGTATAGACCCAGCAGGACTGTGGTGACATGGTCCACTAAAGCAGGGCTGTTACTGGTATTCCATGCCAAGCTTCCTTGCTTTGGAAGGACCACAACACTGTCACCATGCTGTCAACCATCCATGTCACTGCAATGGGTGGGGATAAGCCATTAGTGGTAAAGGATTACAACCTCAGCATGAAAGGTGTCGATGCTGGTGATCAGATCTGAAAGATCGCCAGCCCAAGGTCTGGTACAGGAAGGTCTTCTTCCTCTTTCACATGGCCAGAGAGAAATCTTGAGCTTTCAGAACAGGTGTTCAGAGAAGGGGCTGACTTCACCGAGAAGCAAACTGCAGCAAGGCAGGCCCTGCAGCAGTGATGGCATGCCATCACCAAGATACATGATAACAGGAGAAGGAGGTGCTGTTGGTGCTCACAACAGGTCAGCAGAGGAGCAGCATGAGCTTCCCAATTGTAATATAGACCTCAGCACCTAAGGGTGCTTCATTCCTGAGAGTAACACACATGGCATTATTAGTGATTCTAGACTCTATACTTAAACTTCCAACCATTGCAACAAGAGCTGAGATTGCATTTTAGGTTTTGGGCAGGCAAAACATTGTATGCATTTCTCAAAAGCATAATCTTATATATATTTCCAAGGCTATAAAATGGCTTTAAAATCAGAGCTTATGCTCTGATCTGTTTGCGGGCAGTGTGTGGCTCGCACCTCTATAGATACCACCCGGAAATGAGGATATATGGCACTCTAAAGGAACCATCAGTAGTGAGTTAAGGTAATCCTAACCTTTACATATAGTTTATCTAGATAAATACAGTTTTAGTTTTATAGAGGAAGAAGGGTTCAGGTAAGGTTGGTGAAAGAAGCCCAAGGTTTGCAGTTGTAAATTCCAAGTTTCATTCTCTTGCCTTCATATCTGCTGTACATAACACATAAACAAATGAGCATCTAAGTGTAAAAAAAACTAATAATATCATAAAAAAATTCTTATCAGATCTGTAATTATACATGTATAATCAAATTTCAGCAATTCAAAACTGCCTCCAAACAAATGATCTTACCATGTCCCTGGCAGCTAATACACTATCAAAGCCTATCTATAATACTGTATAATCATTCTTCTCTAAAAATAAAACATTCACAAAATCACTCTTCAATCCTAACATTTTCCACGAAATTTTATTAAATTAATCATCTCTACCATCACTGTCAAATAGCATATTGAATAAATAAGCGTAATACAAATAAAAAATTATGCAACCAATTTTCCTTGCTCGAGGGCTACAGAGGTTAGTGAGCGGCAGCAAATGTCTGGGAATGACTAACTATGATGCAATCACTTTTAATCAGTGATTCATACTTTTTCTTCTTTTAATAAAGCAAGGAAAAAGACACAGGAGCAAATAGCATACATAAAGACTACATAAATAAAAGCAAACAATTTAAAAAAAAGAAAAAAAAAAAAAAACAGAAAAGAAAAAAAAGAAAAACATTAAGATTAAAACTCTGATATTATGCAACATAAAGGAACAACATCAATTACATGACAAGCTTTTACCTTCCCATACAAAACAGCAGCTGAGGGAAGCAGTAATGCATCCATGTAAATTCTTATGTAAAATGCAAGTGTTTACATTTACGTATATCATATAATCTGCAACAAATAAATAAATAAAAGAATTCATAAAAGATTTCAATATTGCTACAAGAAACCCTAACAAATCTTTAAAAAATGCAGTGAGTACTTTATGTATTATATAATATCATCTATCAACTAATATTACAGTTAATGAATAATATAAGAGCATGTAACATACCACTCTTCATCATCTAATACATTTAAAACTCTTGGATTATCAACCCTTACAATGCATAACTCTTCTTTATTCAAATGCACAGGAATCTTTTTTCTTTGTTCTCATTCTGATAATGACAGAACAAATAAAAAAAAAATCTGTTTATTCATAATTCTACTCTAAGCATCATTCACAAATCTGTCAGTATAAAGTTGTCTAATGTGTGACACACCTCAGGATATGTGAATGTCACACATGGCATAGTTGTTTTGTTCTACACAGCCAGTACGCAGGAGAGCATGCTAATGGCTACCAGAGGGCACCCTACACCTTCCACTTTCCCTTCCCTGAGTGTGTGGCATAAAAGGGGAGGGTAGGAGGTAGAAATTGGGATGGGTAGAGGTAAGGGTTGGGAAGGGTAGGAGGTAGGGGTCAAGGGTTGGTGAAAGCCTAAACAAAGATGGGCAAATCCTAAAGCCATTATACCCTTAGTACGTTCCCTAGGGTGCCCACTCGTGAGCAATTGACATAGCCATACGGTTAACAGGTCTGGCGAATACTATTTATATACTGAAAGGATACCAAAAATTACTGATATTTTTCTCATAATGTAGATTTTGATCAGTGGACTTTTTAAAAAATACCATCTTTTTAAAATCCCTCAGAGGAATAAACAAAAATTCTGCTTGTTCCAATAAGACTGCAAAACAAAGATGCCATATACAACTTTCAAACATCTAGGTATTGTTGCAAATACAACACTTAAGGGTTAAACAAACCTGCATCAAAGCATTTACTGCATGTTTCATGCAAAATAGCTTTTAAAGGAACCTACATAACCACCTAGCCTGTAAAAAACTTTCGGAACTTCAATATCATACAGCTTCCAAAATATTTTTTAGGACAGAAATTAAACCACTGAGCTAAAATAAATTTTTACCAATGTTTACTTCCATTAAAGCTGAAAGGAAAGCTTTGCAGATTTTTTTTTGAGTAATTCAATTTACTGTAATTACCAGTCTTCTTTTTCATAAACCAATGCTCCCTGTCCATTAACCCTAAAAGATACATTAACATTTGTATACCCTCTAACCAAAAGATATGAAAACACAATACCTGTAAGATTTTTTTCATTCACTACTGAATGTTATACTTATTCATATTCATTAACCCCTATGATCCGGATGATGTGACCAGCACATCATGAGAAAAATTGGTTTGAGGGGCAGATAACAGAAACACACAGTCATGGGAAAATTTGGCTGCTGACTAGGGTAACGAGAACTTGCCATCATGAGGGTTTTGGCTGGAGGCTGGGGTGACAAGAGAGACTCACCATGAGTGCCCAAAGCTCATGCAAGATGATTAGGCTCATTTGGTATTTAGATATGAGCTTTTGCATTATTTCCATCAATAAAAGAGGGCTAAATGTAATATCTATAAACCATGATTGGAAAAGAAAATTAGAAAAATATACACAAAATATATATCAAACAAAATAAAAACTTTCTTTCTTCACTCACAAGAAAAACACATCACATAAAATCCTTCCTTGCAAAGATGTGACTACATAGCATCAATCACCATTATCTACTCCAATAAAGCCTCATTATTTAGTAACCATCCATATCTTTTAGTATTAAAAAAAAAACAGTCCTTCTAGAAAACTACAATAGAAGAATATTTCACATATAGTGCACAAACACAAATCCCCTTTACAAAAATTCTATTATAACACTTTTCCTTCTATAAAAAAGAGAAAGAAAAGAGAAAAAGAAGATAATAAAACAGCACTCACACATAAAGATTCTGATGTAAGCAAACAGTATACATCACACAACTCCTATATCCAAACATACATCAAAGTATACAAAAATCCTCATCCCTCTATAACTCCCATCCCTTTAACCAGTTGGGTCCGGTTGTGTCATGGAAATCACGGTGTCGAAAATCCAGGCAATGGGTTACATAAGTGGCCAACATCCCGGGCACACACAAACACTCATGAGCAGTGACAAGACTCTGTGCTTCCCCTTTGCAAATTTATTTTGTGTAAACTTTTTTTTAACTTTATCGTCATTTTCCAATGTCCATATTTGTCTCTTGATTTGCTTTATCAAGAAGGCAATAGCTTATTTTCCCTACACAGACTCCATATCATTTCTTTGTATAGTAAATAACTCAGTGCAAGGAAGAAAGAAAAGTATGGAACATTTGGTTATTTGTGTCATATATCTGATTTTCAATTTTACGTAATGTAGTGGCCAGGAATATGGTGTGCAGCATGGAAATGGTGTCCACCCTGGAGCTGGCACTCTTCCAGTCACTGCTTACGCACGTTACATTCCATATTAGTTATCGATGGGAATAATGCTAAAGCCCCCTTCTCACTGCTAAATAAGTCAAATCACACTCCAAAAGGTTTGTGCACAGGTGAGTCTTTTCCGTCACCCTGGCCTTCGCTCGCAAGTTTGCATCATCCGGGCCACAGCTAATTTGCCCGATTGAAGGCATATTCACGCCACCCATCCCTTGACTCAATTTTTTCCATGATGTGACCACAGTGTCATCCAAGTCCAATGGCTTAAATAAATAAATAAATAAATAAATAAATAAATAAATAACAATAAGGAAAAAGAAAGAAAGAAAGAAAGACGAAGGAGACAAAGTAAAAAACATACCTTAAGCTTAGAAGTTCATAGTCAGCTTCTTTAAGCATGGCACTATACATCTGGTATATTCGGAATGCGAGGGACTCTAGCATAGCTCGGACGAGGTGCGCCTTACTGGTATCAGCACTGAGGCCTAAGAAGCCCCCAGTAGCATTGGCATCATTTAGGGGCGCCTGTAAAAGGTTGTGGTTTGTTGATATTATCTTTTATACTGCTGTTACTGATGTTATGAGTGGCATTTGCTACTGAAGACACAATTGAAATCTAGATTTTCATCATCATATTGTACTGCGAAAAAAAAGAACATAGAAAAGAAAAAAATATGTATGGAAAAGGAGACAGAAAACTATTTAGAAACAAAAATTGAGATGTTATTCTTTACAATAGTTTCAGAAAGAAGATGAAAAAGAGAATAAGTAAAAATGGATATCTATCTCAATATCTAACTATAAGTCATCTAGTTTTTTCCACATCCATACCATCACCTAACCCTTCATACTACTAATTCATTATATATATTATTACTTATTTATTATCTACCTATCATATTCTATCTATATAATCGATTTACTAATTTCTTTATCTACCACAATATCTACCTATCTATCTACTATGATTTACTTATCAATCAATCTACCAGAAAATCTATCTAGCCCTTCATCAAATTTAAAATATAATGTTTTCACTATTTCCGTTAATTAGCACGACAGCTACCCTTGGCAGCTTTCTATAACGCGATATGCAGAGTCAACTTAAAATCATAAATCATAAACTAATTTTGTTCATTTGTAGCTCCTTAAAAGTTATAGAAAAACCCTTAATTACATTAGTTGCAAATAAAAAATATTTATCAATTTACAAAATCTGATTAAATCCTTTTTTACATTAAAATAATTTCCATTTCTTTAAATATCATCTCGAATAGCTGTTGGCAAAGAGAAATGCAAACTGGTTCCCAACACAATGTACTGTAAATTCTAAAATACTTATTGTTGTTTGTATTTAACAAAATTTTGTGCAACTAATATCCTTCCCTGTCACTAGATAATATCATAAACTACTGATGACATTGTTTTGAGAAATTTGAGTATACCAAACTTATTTGAGTACTTATTTCCCACAGTAAAGGATAATGCTTTAATGAATGTACACCCCACAATTTCCTTAAGCATACAGTTATACATCAATTTTAAAGTCTTAGTTAAGCCTTTCTGATTAAGAAATATTTTGGAATGATATTTTAAGCCTATCAGAAAGACATCTTAAAAGGATATTATGGAATTCATCATGTAATACCTGCAATATACTCTTTTTCTTATATCATTTCCCTAAGAAACAAATTTATTTGGCACAAGCAGGCACAGGGATCTAGCAATGATATGAGATTAGGTGTTACTTGCGCCATAAGTGAAATTTTTGCTATGATGTCTATAGGACATCACCTGGTGGTGAATGGGTTTAGGGATGTTTAAGTCATAATGCGCGGCAAAACAAGCAACAAACAGTGCTTTACTTGGTACCACCTATGGTGGGGCATGACTACTAAAATCTAAAAACTTAAGAACTATGTTAAATATATATCTTTAAATATTGCTTTCTCATTTCTCAAATTGTATGGATCTCATAAATGCAGTAGGACCAGGATGTACAAATGTCATAAATGATATGATCACAATAATGGCTTATTCAATTGAAAAGTACCCTAGACACTGTTCT